AACCAGTCTCAGTGTAGTCCTGATCCTCTATGTGAACCAGTCTCAGTCTAGTCCTGATCCTCTATGTGAAAAAAACAGCCTACTTTCGACCCTCTTGGATTATTCCATTTAAAAAAACATCCATCTGGTACTTGCTGGGTGTTGTTTTCAACACTTCCACCTGCGTGGAGACACTCCGTCTCTCCAATGTCCACACACACACACACACACACACACACACACACACACACGCACACACACACACACCTCAGGATGCTATCGAACTGTTGTCGTGTCAGCGTAAACATTTAATCTCTCCAACTAGATTTAAGTTCATTTTTCAATCAACGATTAGTTGAATTCTTTTGCTCCTAAAGTAGTTTTCTTATTTCTGAGTGAGGCGAAGGTCCTGAAGGATACTTACACAGGTTTCATGTTCCCTCTGGGTTGTATATTTATGTTTATTAATAATATTTTGCACTGGACAGCTTCTGTTACTGCAGCGTTTCACTGGTGTGATGAAGTCGATCCACTCTCACAAAGTGAAGCCATGTGGCTCCTCGACGAAAACAAACAAACTTGTTTTTTCTCGTAAATTTATGACTTTATAATCTCAGAGATTATTGTTTGTTTTTCTCATAAATTTAAGATTTCAACCTTGTAAATTACCATTCTTTTATCTGGGAATATTGCCAACCGTCCTCTTATTTATTTATTTATTTTTACTGTATAATGTCCCAAATACGCTGCTCTGTGATTCACTACCAGCCTCAAAATATAAAGGAAAAAGTGTGTGTGTGTGTGTGTGTGTGCGCTCTCATTATGCTCCAGGATTTAGGCTCAAATCCCATTTAAACCTGGGCTTTGATTTAAGAGGCGATGTAATTTAGCGGAATCTAAAAACTCTCATTAGTTTGCACAAAGTCTTTCATGTACCGCATGAAAAACTCACAACGTCCTCCATTTGACCGAGATAATCAGAGCACTTAACCAGATGCTGCTTCATTCAGCTACAGCGCCGCACACACACACACACACACACATATATATATAAATATACAGTATATATACACACACACACCCTCTTCAATAAACCAGAGTTCATTAATCTCCTCTTCCCTCAGGCAAACTCCGCAGACGGCAGTTTTACTCTCAGCCGCTGGAGAACGGCCGGGTCCTCACGAAGGGCTCCACCTTCACCTACCAGGACGTCCTGGACCAGTTGCTGGTCTACACGCCCGAAACCGTCAGCGGGGGTGCGGACGAAATGGATTTCACCCTCACCGATGGCATCTACACTCACCTGGGCCGTCTGGAGTTCACCATGGACGTCAGGAGGAGCGAAGGACCCCAGATGACCGTCAACAGAGGCCTGCAGCTCCCGGCAGGTGAGACAGGACGGAGGGTCGGAGCAGCACTTCATCTTGATACAGAGAGTGAGAAAAGTCTTAAATGAAGCGTTCAAAGGCAGAGAAAGATATGAAGTGCTCTGAATCTGTTTTTTCAGGATCTTCGTCTAAGATGACGGAGCAGAACCTGAAGGGTACGGACATCGACTCGGACAGCCTGAAGCTCAGGTACGTGCTCACCAAAGACCCTCCGGCCGGAAAGATCCAGCTCAGCAGGAGCGGGCGAGTGGAGAAGATTTCTGTGAAAGGACCCGTTCAGAGCTTCACTCAGGACGACGTCAACAAAGGTTTGTCTCTCTGTTTATTTTGCTTTTGGTCCTGCTTTTCATTTCGTGTGAGACGTCTCTCTGCTTTGGCCTCGGGACAAACTGTTGCCAAGAGTGTTGTTGTTGTGAGAGTCACAATAGATATTTCATAACTTTAAATTCTACACACGACGCCCTGCAAATGAAGAGCATGTGTACCTGATACGGCAGTATCTCTATGCATGCATTTACATTTCTCATAAATACAGACCATGTTTATTGTGGGTACTGGCTTCCCTCTTAAATCAGTGGTGTTGCAACATCTTCTCACTTCCAACTTGTCTTAAACTTCACACTATGAGGCCCTCGGTTCCCCTCTAGTGACCGTTTTGGTCAGTTTCTGCTAATTACATGCACAAAATAAACTTCCATTGTAGGTTAACTTAGTTTTTAGGTTTACGTACATGACAGAAACTCCCTGGTTAGGTTTAGGCAACAGAAGTACTTTGTTAGGCTTATTAAAAGCTCCGGGTTTGGGTTAAAATAATATGATGACTGATTTAAGATGAAATGTCCGTTTTCTTGCAGGCCTGCTGCAGTACAGCCACGAGAAAGGGGAGAAGGGAGGCAGCCTGTCTTTCAAGTTCAACCTGGTTGATCCAGAGGGCAACAAGCTGATCGACCAGTCCTTCTTCATCAGCGTGCTCGGTGGGTTTCCCCTCCTGCAGCGCTCACAGTGTTCCTTCATTTGTCGGAGAGAGAAAAAGGCGGTTTTATCCCTCTGTCCTGCACATTGGACACATCCTGAAGAAGAATCATAGAGCCGCTGCTGTTAGCTGTTTCTAAATGAATAAATACTTGTAAACACAGATATATTTTTAGAAAGGAGGGTTTTGTGAAAGTGTATTCCGCTGCATCGTCTAACTTCAGTGTCTCTCAGGCGGCCGGATGGTAAAAAGACACCGAAACTTTATTCCTGTCCTCTCGCCTCCTTCTGGGCTCTGAGCCAAACTGTTGCAGTGGTTCAGCGGTTCAAAACCAGACTTGTGTTGCAGCCGCTGGAAACTGAAGGATTGTCCGTCCGGCACGCTTGAACGGCGTCCTGATTCTCTCATATCTCTCCCAGCTCACGTTGTATCTTGTTCTGTATTATCCCCCTCACTTCTTGTTGTGTTTTTTTATCTGTTCTGCGACTACAGTGGAGCTCTCTGTTGGTATCTCTTCCCTTCCACGCCGCCCTCTGATTACTTCCCTGCCCTTCTCAAATCTCTCAAACCTGTATCACTCTTTCACACCTTCTTGTTTGCTTGTCGTTGTGTCATTTCTCCACTTCCTAATAGACCTCTCTGCTCCTCTTATCTTCGATCCGCTCCCTTTTCCAAATCAGTCTCGGCTTCTTCTCTTTTTTTTGTACCAGGATGAGAAATCGACCATCAATGTTTTTATCTGCTTGTGGATGAATTGTTTTCATAATCTCAGGGGGAAAGGCCAGCATGCTTGCACCAATAAATCTCTTTCTGTTTCTTCTCCTCCTCTTCCTCTGTGACTGACCTTCTTCCTCCCTCTCCTCCAGAGGACCGTCTTCCTCCGTCCGTGGTGGTGAACAAAGGCCTGGTGCTGGACGAGAACTCCGTGAAGAAGCTGACCACGCTGCAGCTGTCGGCCAACGACCAGGACAGCGAACCGGGCGAGCTCATCTACCGCGTCACCAAGCAGACCAGCCTGGGTCACCTGGAGCACGCCGCCAGCCCAGGTACCAACACCCGACCTGTGTTCCAGCTTCTAGAGCTGAGAGTTACCTATATACTGGGTATATATATTATTATGCATAAACAGGTGTTATATCAAAGTGTTAATGTCGTCTTGTACAGCAGCAAACATCAAACAGACGTCTTTTCTTTG